ACTCCCTATAATATTCTTGGCGAAGATTGCACCGTACTCTTCTAGAACCGTAAAATTCTACGTTGCTACTATTCCAACAAATTCTCGTTGGAAAATTTGCTTCTGTTTCTAACATTTTTTGAAGAAGATATATATATCAAAGTGAGATATTTAGCTTCTATTTGTAATATTTCTTGTGGACCAAAGACAGAACGTTTTTGAAGGAATGATTCATGGATAATTCTTATAAGCTCGTTATGGGTTCTGCAGTAGCTTTTGGTTCAAATGATTGGGATGATTTCATGCAAGAAAATGGAGAATTTACTCCAACTTTAATAGTGCATAATGAACTTCAAGCTGAAAACCAACCAAGTATTGAAAGTGAAAATGGATGTTTGAGTTCTACTTATACGTAAATCTTATTTTGATAAGACTTATAAAATGTCTCTTTCTTGCCCCTTAAACCTTAATGTGACACATGTAAAAATGGATAATGAGTCACCTTAAACTAAAAGGGGTCTGCCACGTTTCTTTTGGGGTGTAATTTTGTTAATTTTTATCCACTTATTAGTTAAATGGATAATGTTCTGTTACCCGGTAATTAACCAATTACACGCATAATTTAAAAATTGCCAAAAATTACTTAAAATTCTACTTATTTTTAATATACTTTATATATACTTTATAAATTATACTACCGTGGTCATATGGTACCTTGCATGGTACTAGTTCATAATTATCGGATATTATCGCTCGACCCGTATTTTATCTCAAATTGGCCACTTTCAACGAAACTCGTTTTTTTTAATTCGTGTACCTCTTTATCCTTCATGACACTTCTTTATTGCTTGTTATAAATAGCATAAATACGTTAACATCAAGATGATCTCATCCCTGAGTCTACGTCAATTAACTAAAGACGAAGTTTTTAACGTATGAAAACGCGAGATGTAACATCCTCCCCCTTTAGAAACATTCGTCCTCGAATGTTAAACTCCCCGTGATCTATACAACCTTGGAAGGGTTGCCTTTGTAACAACACTACTACCAACTCTCCCTGTATAAGCTTTATAATCCAACGCCACACAGGACCACAATTATCAATAACTACAATGGCCTCACACGACCAACGACAATAACCAATAAAAGAATTCGTACATGTACCTTATGGTTATGATGTCTCCGTCGGAACCTTCTCTAGAGGAGAAAATAAGTAGGGATATCTTGACTTCATGTCTTCCTCGGCCTCCCAAGTTATTTCTTCCACATTGTTGTTCCTCCAAAGTACTTTCACGGAGGCTACCTCCTTATTTCGTAGCTTGCGAATTTGCCAATCTAGGATGGAAACTAGAATTTTCTCATATGACAAGTCCTCTGTAATATGTACATCATCTGTGGGCACCACTTGGTTAGGATTGCCTGTGTACTTCCGTAACATAGATACGTGAAAAACCGTATGGACAGACTTCAATTCTGAGGGCAATTCTAACTCATTAAGCTACTTTTCCCACTCTTCGATTGATCCTATAAGGCCCAATATACTGTGGGCTAAGTTTGCCTTTCTTGCCAAATCTCATCACACCCTTCATAGGTGACACCTTTAAGAATACCCAATCATCAACCCCGAACTCCAAATCTCGTCGCCGCACGTCAGAATATGACTTTTGACGACTCTGAGTTGTTAACAGTCGATCTCGGATCAATTTACATTTTCTATGGCTGCTGAAGTAGGTCTGGCCCAGGTAATTCAGATTCTCCAACATCGAACCACCTTATAGGCGGCCTACACTTTCGTCCGTAAAGAACTTCGTATGGAGCCATCTGAATGCTGGAATGGTAGCTATTATTATACATGAACTCAATAAGCGGCAGATGATCATCCCAGCTACCCTTGAAGTCTATTACACAAGCTCGTAACATATCCTCCAGTGTTTGAATAATACGCTCAGCCTGTCCGTCTGTCTGGGGATGAAATGATGTACTAAGACTTACTTGAGTCCCCAATCCTTTTTGGAAGGACCTCCAGAAGTTAGCTGTAAATTGAGCTCCTCTATTCGAGATAATAGATACAGGGACACCATACAGTCATACTATTTCCTTAATATAAAGCCTTGCATAATCCTCTGAAGAATATGTAGTTCTAACGGGCAAAAAATGGGCTGACTTTGTAAGCCTATCAACAATCACCCATATCGAATCGAACTTACGCTAGGTACAAGGTAAGCCTATGATGAAATCTATATTGATTACTTCCCATTTCCAAGTCGTAATCTCCATAGCTTGCAATAACCCACCAGGTTTTTGATGCTCAATCTTAACCTGCTGACAGTTAGGACACTGAGCAACAAATCCTGCTACATCCTTCTTCATTCCATCCCACCAATACACTTCCTTGATATCATGATACATCTTTTTTGCTCCTGGATGGATAGAGTAATGAGAATAGTGAGTTTCTCCCATAACCTGTCGATGCAGCCCTCCAACATTAGGCACACATAATCGCCATTGATATCTGAGGACTCCATCTTCTGTAATTTCAAACGGTGTCTTCTCCTTCTAAAGAGTGGTATCCCTATATTGAACTAACACAGGATCCTCATACTGCCATTTCTTTACTTCAGTTACTAAAGAGGATGTTGTCGTATCCTGAAGAGTAATTCCAATATCACCTGAGTCTAGTAATCAAACTCCAAGACTAGCTAGCTGATGAACCTCATGGGCTATTCCCCTCTTTTCTGGTTGTAAATACGACAGGCTACCCATAGACCTACGGCTGAGGGCGTCGGCTACTACGTTCTTTTTCCCCGGATGGTATAAAATATCAATGTCATAATCTTTAAGTAGCTCCAACCATATCCTTTGACGTAGATTCAATTCCTTTTGCTTGAAAATGTACTGGAGGCTCTTATGATCCGTATAGATGTCAATATGAATTCCATACAAGTAGTGCCGCTACATCTTTAGTGCATGAATCACCGCGGCTAACTCTATATCGTGGGTCAGGTAGTTCTTCTCGTGCTTTCTTAGTTGTCTAGAAGCATAAGCCATAACCTTACCATGTTGCATCAGCACACAACCGAACTCAATGCCTGAAGCGTCACAATAGATAACGTAACCATTAGTCCCTTCTGGAAGCGTTAGAACCGAAGCTAATGTTAATTTGTCCTTTCACACTTGGAAACTCCATTTGCAAGCATCAGTCCATTGAAACTTTACTCCCTTCTGAGTAAACTTTGTCAAAGATGCTGAAAGGGAAGAAAATCTCTCTACAAATCTCCTGTAATAACCTGCCAACCAAGAAAGCTACGAACCTCCGTCGGTGTTATGGGTCTAGGCCAAGTCTTTACTGCCTCAATCTTTTGTGTATCCACCCGGATGCCTTTACCCGAAATGATATGCCCAAGGAAATCTACAGAGTTTAACCAGAATTCACACTTAGAGAATTTTGCATACAACTTCCCTTTTGTAGAACTTTGAGCACATTACGCAGATAATCTGCATGCTCAGCCTCTGAACGAGAATACACCAATATATCGCCGACAAATACAATTACGAAAAGATCTAAAAAGAGCCTGAATACACGGTTCATCAAATCCATGAACACTGCTGGGGCATTGGTCAGACCGAATGACATAACATGAAACTCAAAGTGCACGTATCTGGTCCTAAATGTTGTCTTTGGAATATCTTCATCCTTAACTATTACTTGATGGTACCCGGACCTCAAGTCTATCTTTGAAAAACACTTGGCACCTTGCAAATAATCAAATAAGTCGTCAATCCTCGGGAGCAGGTACTTATTCTTGATCGTCATCTTATTCAACTGTCTATAATCAATACACATCCGTAAGGAACCATCTTTCTTCCTCACAAATAACACAGATGCTCCCCGCGGTGATGTACTGGGTCTGATAAAGCCTTTTTCAAGCAAGTCCTTTAGTTGTTCTTTCAACTCTTTCAGCTCTGCGGGGGCCATTCTATAAGGAGGAATGGATATTGGATGAGTATATGGTAGTAGGTCAATAGCAAACTCAATTTCTCATTTTGGGGGGAGACCCGAAAGCTCATCAGGAAAAACATCAGGAAACTCATTAACCACAGGGATGGACTGAATGGTTGGTGACTCTACTTCCACATCCTGAACCCGAACTAAGTGACAAATACAGCCCTTTCTGATCATCTTCCTTTCCTTGAGATAAGAAATGAATCTTCCTCTCGGCGATGCCGTATTACCTTTCCACTCCAAAACATGCTCCTCTGGAAATTGAAATCGGACTATCTTTTCTCTACAATCAACGTTGGCATGACAAGAAGCCAACCAATCCATACCCATTATAACATCAAATTCTACCATATCTAACTCGATTAAGTATGCTATGGTAGATAAGCCATGAACTACTATTATACAATCCCTATATACTTGCTTAGCTATCACTGAGTCCTCAACAAGTGTAGACACCTCAAAAGGTTTAACCAATTTAGGTTTTATTCCAAACTTACTAGCAACCAACGAAGTAACGTATGATAAGATGGAACCTGGGTCAATCAGTGCATATACATCATATGAGGAAACTGATAATATACTTATAACAACATCAAGCGATGACTCCTGGTCTTGTCGTCCTGCCAACGCATAAATGCAGTTTTGAGGATTGTTTGAACTAGATGCTCTGTCTCTGACTCTACCACAACTCATTGGTGCTTGTGGACCTTGACCAGAGGGTGTACAAATGATGACAAACCAGCTACAGATCTCGCTGGTTGCGCTATGCTTGCATTACCTCTCATCGGACAATCCCTCATAACGTGGCCCGGACAACTACAAGTATATCAAACACCTAATCCTATACGGCACTACTCAGTATGCTGCTTACCACATTGAGCACATCGTGGCAAGGGCGGCCTCATCTGATTTGACTTACCCCTATACTAAGAACCTGAGGCCCTGAAATTCTGACCATACCCTAAATATGTGGAACAATCGAATCTCTTACCGCCAAACTGAGGGGGTGCGCTAGCCGATGGCTGGGCTGGATACTTCGGGTACTGTTGCCTCTGACCACCTCGAAACTCACCAGAAGGACCCGAAGACCTCGCTCTCTTATTCTAGGCCCTATTATGCTCACGATCGACCCTCTGTTTCTATTTACGCTCCTATACACCCTGAGTGTATGCCTGAATACGAGAAATAACCATGTCTAGCTGAAGCGAGATCGACATACAACCGTTAAGCAAGTGAGGCTCTAATCCCATCACGAATCAGTGAACCCGATCGTTCATCTTAGATACAATAGTGGGAGCATACCTAGCCAACGAATCAAACTGAAGACTGTACTCCTGAATACTCATGTTACCACTGCCGAAGGGTCAAGAACCTATCAATTCTGGCCCGTCTAAGCTCTGGTGGCAGATAATGACAAAAAAAAGCCTCTGTAAACTTCTTCCATACCGTTGGAGGGGCATCCTCACCTCTGGACAATTCCCAAGACTCGTACTAATTAACTGCAACATCTATAGGAGGCTAGATCAACTGACTCAGTCATAGTGGGCTTCATTACCCTTAACGTCCTCTGCATTCTATCAATAAATACCTGAGGGTCCTCGTTTGGATCTGCTCTAGTAAATACCGAAGGGTCTAAATTAATGAAGTCACGAACCCATCGCACTGACGGACCTATCTGCATGACCAATACCTATTTCCTGACGTCGAGCCTGCGCGGCTACTAACCGGGTTAATAGCTGAATAGCATCTCTTATCTCCTGACCCGGTGCATTCGGCTAAGGTGTTGAATGTACAGGGGCGGCCGCTGGAGCTGGTGCCCCTCGGAGCTCTTCTGGAAAGGGCTGGGTATATGAAGTCTGAGAGGAACCTCACCATGAGACTCTCCCCCGAGCCTGGTAACTCGTGGCGCTCGACTAGTAGTCTCACCAACCACGAACATTCCCTTCTGGGCGACCGTACTCTTGGGAGGCATCGCTGAAAATATAACATATCGTTAGGAACATGAATTCTTGTATCGCACGATCTGAGATAAAAAAAAAAAAGAGGATAACATCCAATATGTCCTGTAGTTTTCTGTCTATAAGTGTGGTGCATAACACACCCATAAACAAGACTCTACTAGATACGGTCTATAGAAAATCCTAGGACAGAACTGCTCTGATACCACTTTTGTCACGACCCAAACCGATGGGCCGCGACAGGTGCCCGAGTCCTACCTGTCAAACACCCCTAAGCATGCGTCTAAGATATAAACCTGAATAACATCTGCTGAATTGCGAGAATAAAGTACATGAAGGAAATCTGCCCAAAAAGGCATACATACACATACATAAAACATACGTAGGGCGAGCCGACAAGGCTGCTATAGACAACTATGCATCTCAAAACTGGAAGTCGGCAAGGCCACACACTATCCAACTAGACATACTGTCTACAGACCTCTAATAGAAACATAACTGTACAAAGACGGGATTGGGCTATATATATATATATATACAAACGTATCGTACCAAAATTAAAAGCAGCTCCGGATCAAGTGGAGCACGCCAACTCTCGCTGATCAGGGATCCTAAGAAGGGGGACCGTCAGCTTGCCTACCTGCACCTGCGGGCATGAAACGCAGGCCCCGTGAAATAGGGTGTCAGTACGAAAAATGTACTAAGTATGTAATGCATGAAAATTAGTACGTAAAAGACATAGATGGAACATGGAATATAGAAACACGTCTTTAAATCTGAATAACTGTGTAAATTCTAAAATATTTATAATGTCATGCATGTGCATATAAATGTCGTGTCATGCATAGGTATGGGTGTACATTATATCATCAAGCCACTGAGGGAATCCCATCATATCGTCTCAGCTACTGTGGGCAACATTATCAACATATACCAGCTGATAAGGTGGTGGTGTGTATATAACGTCGTAACCTTTTCCTATATCCCATATACATATATTTACATATATACGCGTATATAACGACATCTGGTCATGGGTCAATGCACATGCATAAATGGGTGAAATGCATGAAAAATACGTAAATCAATATTCCTTCCGGAAAAAGTTTTTTTTCAACTGCGTATTATTTTGAGACCCATGAACAGAAGATAATAATAATTCTCATGAGGAATCAAGAATATAGACACCCCTAATATCTCTATGAATAGAGTAATTTATGGAAACTGTGCATTTGCTCGTTTCTTCAGTATAATTTGTACCATGCCAAAAGAAAGAAGGGATGGTCTTAACATACCTGGAGTAGAAAAACTCTGTATAATATTCTTGATGAAGATTGCACTGTACTCTTCTAGAACCACAAAATTCCACGTTGCTACTATTCCAACAAATTCTCGTTGGAAAATTTGCTTCTGTTTCTAACAAATATTATTTAGGTAATACAGTAGAAGATTGTGGGACATTTCCGGAGGTCATGATCGTGCAACTCTGGAACTGGAAATCAACGAGATTGATTTACTTTATTCACGCTTCAAGAGGTAAGTCGTATAAACTCCATATATGCTAATTGTTTAATTTACACGTGAATTCAATACATAAATTAATTCTGCTGCTTTATGTAATCCAACGGTTTGTCCTATACCCAAGTGAAGAATAATGTTGTGTTAGGTTGCGTTAAAATATTTTTATTATAATGATCCTTTCAATATTTGAAATGTAAGAAAAGGATTTATACAACTTGACTTCAACTAGTTTAAGATTGAGACATATTTAATTGGCCAAGCTTCTATTTAGCCAAAAGTATTTTTTTTCTTCTAAAATTAAGGAGTTTGGCCAAGTTTTTAGAAGAATAAAAGTATTTTTGACTAGAAATAGAACTGAGAAGCAGAAAAGAAAAATAGCATCTGGCGAGAAGTATTTTTTCGAAAAGTACTTTTGAAAAATACTACTCCCTTTATTTCAAAAGGTTGACACTATTTTCTTATTAATCTGTTCCGAAAAGATTGACACCTTTCAATATTTCCTTAATAGGAAGCATTTATAACCATACAAATATTATGACAAGTTTCAGACCACAAGTTTTAAAAGTTTTACAGTCGTACAAATATTATAACTTATTTAAGATCACATATCTTAAAAGTCTTCACTTTTTTATTAAAGTTTGTGCCAAGTCAAACTAAGACAATCTTTTTTAAACGGAGGGAGTATCTACCTAAAAGTACTTATAAAAAGCTTGGCCAAACTTTTGTTACTCCCTCCGTCTCATACTATTTGTCATGATTCTCTCCTGCACTACCCTTAAGAAAAATTAATTAGGATATGATTTTGACTATTTTACCCTTATTTATGTCTTAATATTTAATCTTTCTTCATTGAATATTTTCTCAATTTATATTTTCTTGTAGAAATGCAGGGTAAGGATGCATTGTGGTGCGATCCTTCCCCGGACCCTACACATAACGGGAGCTTAGTGCACCGGGCTGCCCTTTTTATACGTGGTTGGAAGTTGAATCTCTATAATTGTTATTCTAGTAAAAAGAAATAAGCAGACTTATAACCATTAAGTTGAACTGGTTTTTGAGTTACTAGCTAGCATAGTAGCTTAAAGGAGCAGAGTTAAAAATGGTTGATCTGAAAGCAAAATAAAGATCACCCTTCTCATAGCACAAGATTACAGCATTGTTTATGTTGTCTATTGCAGGGAATAATCCCAAGTTCAATAGCTATGACAATGTGTTGGGCATTTCTATTAGTGGAAGCACTTCTACTAGTTGAAATCAATGTGGAGTTGCTCAAAAAGAATAAAGTGAAATTTGAAGGCAATGAGCTAGAGATCATCTCCATTAGAACAATGGCTCAAGAAACAGGAGAATGGGGTGGACTCTTCGCTACACTAACCTATGTCTTCTTAGGGTACACTTCAATGATTGCTTACATTTCCAAGTCGGGCGAAATCCTCTGTCATTTGATCAATCTCCCAGACTCAGATTTGGGCTTTTTCTTCACTTCCCTCTTCACAATTCTCATCTCTGTAGGTGGGACTAAAGCCACTGATCAAGTCAACCAATGGCTCACTGCACTTATGATAGGTACTACTATATAAGAAATCAGCTAGCTTTTCTAGTTTGATCACTGATCACTGGAACAAACAAAAGGGTTATCCAAAAAGTTCAGAAAATGTGATAATTGGAATAAAATGCAAACAGGACTGCTCGTGGTAATCGAGGTTCTAGCCAGTGTATATGGAGGGTGGTCAGGAGATGCCGGAAGCAGTGACTGGGGAAAAGTTCCATCAACAATACCAGTGTTGATATTCTCTTTAGTCTACCATGATCTAGCTCCAGGTGAAAACAATTTTTTTGAGGTTTATTAAATCCTTTCTTTTCTTTCTTACCAAATTGTGATTCATGTGTTCTTGATTTGGTTGCAGTTCTTTGTGCTTACTTGGAAGGTGATCTGAAACGAATAAGGGCTTCAGTATTGATTGGTGGTCTGGTTCCACTCCTGGCATTGCTTATCTGGGATGCAATTGCCTTTGGCCTTTCATCCCAGCTTGATCAAGTTGCTGACCCTGTTGAATTGCTTCTGAGGTCATTTTTTCACTCTTCATTCATTTATTATAAATTGCACTACTAAATCTCAAGTGATATGAGTGTTTTGACTTGCGGGTTAGATGTATTTGGATTTGACAAAATATGGCTGTCATTTAGTTGACTTCCTTTACACTTTAAACTCTTTTCTTGAACAATACATTTTCAGGCTGAAATGGAGTGGATTGTCATATATGGTACAAGCATTCTCACTACTAGCTGTGGCAACATCTCTAACTGGTACTCTTCTAAGTTTCTCCGAGTTTCTCAAAGAGCAAATCAATAAACTTGACTTGCAACCAGATGTATCCACAAGATTATATTTACAGGTAACATTTGGTTTTTAGTGTTTAACATCTGATTCTCAAAGGAAGAGTATCTAAATACTTGAATCTTAATTCCTAGCAGAGATCAAATTCTCAGCTCCGACTAAGCAAATGGTGGAGAAGAAACAACTTAGGCTTCACAGCAACAGCAATTGTCATTGCTCCCCCTCTTCTTGTGTCGACAACAATTCCAGAGCAACACCTGTTCTTCTATCCATAGGACTAATTTCTTGTGGTATAATTGTAGTGCAGATTCTTCAAGACCTCCATTTTGCATTCTTGAAGTAAATCAGACTAATAGTAGACATTGTAAATAACGGAAAAGCTCCTCGTGATCACAGAAAAGAAAAAACATCTTTGAGACTGCAAGTTTATCAACACCATTTCCATAAAAACCAAGCAATAATTCATTTGAATACATTCTCACACCTCTTTACAGCTGAATCACTTAGTACAACATAAACATGCAGCGACAAGTTCATTGCATTCAAATATATTTGAGAAAAAAAGACTCCTCAGTTCTAGATAAATAAGAAGCAGCCATGCCTAGTCATCTGACCTTGGTTTCTCATCTAAGTTTACAACACGGGTTGAAACGAGCTCCAAGTGAGTTGTTTTATTCAACAGAGAAGACAATAAATAATGATAATAAACATAAAATACAAATGGAGAACATCCATTGGACTGATCAAGCAAGAGAAACCATAAACCAGGGGGAAGCATAAATCTGCAAAATGAACATTAAACTAGACCCACTACACCCACAGAAGATCTTAGTTCTTCACTGTGGTTACGTGCCTCAGGAGCATCTGGACAACATCAGGGGAGACTCTTTCTGCTTCAGTTTTCAGGTGCTCGATCTTTGCATCTGTTTCTTGCTCAAGACGTTTGACATTAGCGCCTGAGTCACCACTAGTCTGTAAACAGCAGAAATCAGGAACCATTCTTAGTCAATGCTAAGCAGAGAAGTCAGAATCATTGCCCAAAACATCCCCTTTCTCCCCCACCCCCACAACAACACCCCAATATAAAAGGAGAAGGAAAGAGAAGTTGAAAAATAGATGCAATTCTTAATGAGCCTATTGTTACTATCAGCTATTGAGGGTTAAATTTGGAATGACTTTTGTCATCACCACTTAGAAACATACTAGAGCAGAAAATTTACCATATTTAACAATCCAACAGGACATGAAAACATACAGATGTGGTTGCTTAAAAATGCAGATCGTAATACCTTTCTCAGCCTTTTGGCTATGATCAAGAGTGTGATATTTTTACCACAGAAAATGTTTTCCTAGAAAATATTTTACTAGAAAACAAGTGATTTTCTTACTTATTTCCTGGAGTTTGGTTAGTAAGAAGAAAATATTGTCCCAAGAGCATTTTAATATAATTTAAGCAAACATTATAATCCTAGACCCGGACCCGTATCCCAAATTCCAATACTGACACCGGACCACGGTCTCCGACCCCCAACCCCGACCATGAACCCGACCCCAACCTGAATCTCGACCTCAAACCCCGACACTAAACCCCGACCCCAGATTCAACCTCAACCACAACCTCGACACCCCGCCCCTGACCCCAGTTGACACCCTTTCCCCGACCTCCGTGTTTCGAGTTGCAATTTCTGAGTTGGGCGGGGTAGAGGTGACAGGAGTTGGTGGGACAAAGCGAGGGAAGGAGGGGCTGAGGTTGGGTTGGTGGTAGGGGGTTTTCTAGGGAGGGGGAGGTGGGTCAGGGCATAGGGTTGGAGGGTAGGTAAGGGTGTCAGCGTAGGGTGAGGTCAAGGTGCAAAATGGTAGGTCGGGATCTGGGACTGAGGTGGTGAGGGCGGGGAAGGTTGAAACAAAATTTGCAAAATGTTTTCCCTCCCCTTTGTAGGGAAGTCATTTGCCCCCAATTTGAGGAAAATGAGTTCACTAGGAAAATATTTTCCATAATATTTAGGCCAACCAAACATGGGAAAATTGATTCATACCAAACACACCCCAAGTGTAAAAATGCAGCAAGTAAAATGAAAAGCATTTAAAAGGAGGACAAGATCTGGTCGAAATCATGATTTTCCACGAACATACTAGTTGATATCATTGCTATGCCAATGGGATCTTCTTCCAGAACTAGTTGTTTCTTAGTTACCTGCTCAAGCTTTCTCTGAAACTCAGCCTCCATGTAAGCACGAAATTCAGCTATCTCCTTCTCAGCTTCTTCCTTGGCCTGCTTCAATCTAGCCTGTTTAGCTGCACATGAAACTCAGGTTTAGCACTTCTTTAAACCTGATCCCAAGCATCCACAACGCTCCAAATGGTAAGGTTAAAAGACTAGTGACACAGCTTATACAATTTAGACAAGAGGAATAAAAGATATCAAAACATGAGATTTCATTTTTGTTTGATCACTAAAGAAAAAGATATCGAATATAAGCTTTTGGATGCAACGATTTTGACCACTGGAGCATGACATCCATTAACTAACCTATTGTTCAATAACTCAAAATCCCCCATATCATTATGCCTGTCCTTCTGGTAGGAATCCAGCATAAAGAAAAATGCTTTTGCAAGTTCTCCCACCCCAGAAATGTCCTAATGATGAAATCCTCTTACGCTCGTAACAAATGCATATTGAATGGTTGTGGCTAATTAGCAGTTAGAACTGAAATGTCTAGTTTGAGAAAGAGGGCATTGCTTAGAAATGTTACCGGAAAGTATCCATTGGCATAAGGAAATATTTCAAAACACAAAATATTGGATCTTATACTCAGCCAGTGCGCATCACAACATGGATGAGCACTAGAGGAGTTCATCCTTATCCTTGAACTGATGACAACCAGAAAATAACCATACTACAACTCAACAATTACCCACCACTATAAACACAACTAGCATATGCTAACTCTTACATTAAAGAACTATGAAAGCATCCCAAGGCAATAAGCACGCAGACCAATACAGGACAAATAAAAGTGCCCAGGAGGTATCATAGTGACAAGGATTTGCAGCAACAGAGACAAGACTTTCAAATAGCTCATGCATGTTGGCCATTATTAAGTTCTCCTAATAGCAATGTGACAGAGTAGTTAACCGACAGAGATCCAGGTCAAAAGGTAAGAAAACTGGATTTGTAAAGAAGGTAAAAGCAATTACCAGCCCTGGCTGTATTGACAATGTGTTGGGCTTCCTGTTCGGCAGCTAAAAGGAGTTGAATTCCATTCTGGCCACTGCTAGATGCCATACTCGTCTATAACACTAAGACAACTGCAATAAAGAATGAAATGTAAATTTTTTTAGATAAACCCATGAATTACGATGCATGAAACTAAAACAAGAAAGAAAAGTCATAAAGCCTCAATTAAACCATTATAATCGACTTTATCAAGACAAAATCTATATAAGCAATGGTATTCAGTTAATTTTATATTTTATAGTAATACATCTTAAGCTTAATAACACTGTGAGTCGAAAAGAAAAATCAAAAGAAGTTAATTTACAGCATTATCAGATTCCAAGAGTAGAATTACATATGTGTTTAAGCACGTTTATGTGTACAGGAGAAGACGTTAATCTGTTTTCACGGTCCAATATTAACTAGTTCAAAACCTAACAAATCTAAAAAACACATGGCTTGCAATTAACTTGGAGCTAATGAAGTAAGAAGATTAAGGGCTAAATAATAAATAAGTGACACTCTTTTCTCAAAACACAATCTTTTTGACTCAAGGAACTATTTTCTAATGTCAGAAGCGAGACAATTCCCCACTGTTTCTTCCCTTTCTTTTCATCCTCTCTTCATCTACTTTTGGTCAAACCACTCTAGACAATCTCAGTAAGCCAGACCAAAACAAACACCCAAATCCTGCATCCGTGTTGTGTCATGCCAACATGGGGCATGGCACAACACGGGGCTTGTGTACTTTCTACTATATATCCTCATCGGGCTTGTAACCCGTCACCTGATTGATAATAACAGGATTCCAAGAGTCACCTATGTTGTTCTTGTTTTTATCTTTTTTTCTAGTCAAATCAAAACTTGGAACCATATAGCTGGGCACTCATAATGCTGAAAAGTTCTTTTTCAACGAAACCCTATACCTATGTATTAAAGAAACAAAAGCTGGATCCCTGCCATCAGAGACACCAAATTGTAAAGTGTAAAAGCTAGGGAAGGCAAGTAGAAATTTTACTAATACTATTTAATTCAATCGTCAGATCAGGATTAGAAAAATTTAGGCATCTTACAAAAATAGACTACCAAACATAAAAGAACAAAACTTAAAATCTGGATCAGAAACGTATAACCATGAAGCACGCCCTCACGCGCCACCCATCGAGAGTAAAATTACAGATTCGTCATTATGTAATTCTCAGTCAAACAGGTAGAGTAGAATTAACAATCAAGTTGACCAAAACAAAAAAATGGGAGTAGAATTCAGATGAACAGCGGTCAAAACAAGTCAAACATCAATGGGATCCAGATCTAATACATTGAAGCAGAAATCAGCAGAAAATTGAAGTGTTAGAATATGAGATCGCAATCGCTAATGCTGATTAGGGCCTATTAATGCAAAATCCACAAATAAAGTGAACAGAAAGAGAAAATATAGAGAAAAGAAGGGGGAGTTGGTTGTAAGAAGAAAAGGAGATTTACCTCTGTGGAATCGGAGTCGAGAATCGGTTGCTGCGAAAGTTGAGGACTTTCTGGAATTGGATTTTGTATGCAAGAGTTCCGACTCTAATTGACCTTTTATTTGGACCACAATTTTTCCTTTTCCTTTTTTTTCATTTATTTATTTATTATTATGTTTTCCTTTTTCTGATATCCAATAAAAGATGGACCAATTGGGCGATAGTAATTGGATCATGATTCACGAGGTCAATTAAATTCACAAAGGTTGAAATGATTTCTATGCCCACATATAATTTGAATAGACCAAAATGACCTGCAAAAATTTTCAACATTATTTTTACTGATCTCCTACCATTTTTTGAGTTACAGTCTTACTTTACGCGCGTTACCTCGTGTATCTTTCTATTGAAAATAAAAAAATTTAAAACTAATATAAATAATATTTAAATTAAAAATGTATTTAAATTATAAAGTATTTAATAAAAATTACAAGTTCCAAAATAATATTTGATTTTAAAGTCTTACTATTATTTTTAGGATTTCCTACATAATTTATTTTATTAAATTATTCTTAGAAAATAAGTTTATCGTGGTATT